TTGAACTAAATACCTTAGACTACAAATAAATAGGTCTGTCTTGGAGAGGGCAAAACCAAGTCTCTCCCTGGAGGTTAGGATTTGAAGCTCTGCCTCACTTACTTTGAGAATGTGCCCAGGAGAGATTGGTCTTTGGAGGATATCATGTTCGGAAGGGTGGGGGGACAGCGCAGGAGAGGAAGACCCCACATGAGATGGATTGATACGGTAGCTGGGGCAATGAGGTTGATGTGTCAGAATTAGTGAGACTGGCTCAGGACAGGGAAGGGTTCAGAGCTGCTGTACAGAGGGTCGCTATACATTGCAGGTGACCCAATGGCACATAACAATAGCACACTATGACAGGTTTGGAAGTAGGAGTGGCATTTACTTCCTAAATTACATGCCTTTGGAAACTATGAATTTTGAGAAATGGTGATAGTTGTAGTGGGGTTGCAGGTCTTTTGTTCATATTGTTGCTCAACTCAAAGGCAATCAACAAGAAGTTTGAGTATACTTTTTTCAAACAGATAAAATCCATACTGAGGAGTAAACTTGTAGTTGAAATGAATGCTTTCAATCTAAGTTTTAAAATTTCTTTTATTAGATTGTTCTTTGGCAAAGCACATTAGTAATAAATATTCTTTTTGAGTTTCTGGTTTTTTGGCATTAACAAAAATATTCTGCCATTATTTTTAGGATAACATAAAAACATCAAAGGAGATGCAAGAATTTTCGGTGATCAAGCCCTCAAATTTCTCCATAGGTTCATTTCTATGTATTCTTCTTCTACTGTTTCCCACCACCACATTCCACATGATGACCTCATTTCCTGCCCTTCTTCTTCAGCAACATTGTAATACTTGTTTTCTCAGTTAATAAAATTGCAGATAAAAAGTGAGACTCAGAATACCTAAAATGAAAATGTCAAAGTCCATCATATTCAATATTATTTTAACATTTTAAAATACTTTAGCAAATACTAGTTGATCCACACCTTCAGAATTTCTTACAAAATGCTTTTTCTTAGAGCCCACAGAAAGGTACCTATGTTTATCTGAATTTCTTCACCAATTATTTGTGCATAATTTTGTCATTATGAGATTTAAAGTATGAATAATACAGAATAATTTTCTGCAGGTATTCACTCAGATTCAGTCAATTTAGCTTTACAGTTTTTGAGTAAAGTATGAACCCTGACCAAAAGCACCATTTTTATTCAATGAGGATATTTTCAGCATAGATGATTTTTGGGAGGTATGCTGTTGTTTAAATCTGTATGCAGAAAAGATCATCCGAGACACTGGGCTGTCCAAGGATATATGTGGCATGAGGATTGGTGGGAGAGTCAACAACCTGCATTATGTGGATAACACAACTCTGCTTGCTGAAACTGAGGAGGACCTGAAGCGCTTGCTGCAGAAGGTCAAGGACTGTAGCCTTCAATATGGATTGAAGCTCAACATCAAGAAAACAAAGATTCTCACCACTGGGTCAATTGGCAGCTTCAGTATGGATGGTGAAGAGATTGAGATAGTTAAGTTTACTTGGTTCCACAGTCAACACTTTTGGTAACAGCAGCCAGGAAATCAAGAAACGACTTGCATTGGGAAAGTCAGCTGTGAGGGACCTCTCAAGAGTACTGAAGAGCAACAATGTCAGGATGGAGAGTAAGGTGCACCTGATCCAGGCTATAGTCTTCATAATTACATGCTATGCATCAGAGAGTTGGACAGTGACTAGGGATGATAGAAAAATAATTGATGCCTTTGAGTTGTGGTGCTGGAGAAGAGTGTTGAAGATACCATGGACTGCTAGGAGAACAAAACAAGTTTGTCCTGGAGAGGGTGAAGCCAGAATGCTCTTTGGAGTCAAGGATTCTGAAGCTTCATCTGACATACTTTGGGTATGTTGCAAGGAGGGACTGGTCCTTGGAGAGGGACATCGTGTTTGGCAGAGTGGAGGGACAGCACAGGAGAGGAAGACCTTCTATGAGATGGATCAATTCTGTGAGTGGAGTGTTGGAAATGAGTATGTTTGAGATGGCGAGGTTGGCACAGGATAAAACAGCATTTAGGGCTCTTGTACATAGGGTCGCTGAGTCTCTTGCGAATCATGACATAAATATCTTGGTTCAAGATCCGCTTGGGATCCTAAAGTACCTTACAGAAAAGCTTTGTTACTCAAAGTAAGAAACTTCATTGACCTTATAATGTCTAGGACCGACTAGGGATATCTCTCCAGTATACATTCCAAAACAGTGGTTTTCAGTTGTTTTGTTTTTTAAATATACTTTTCAAAGAATACATAGACCATCTTCCACTAAAGTTGGTTGTTGTTATGTGCCGTCGAGTCGCCTGAGACTCATAGCGACCCTATGTACAACAGCCCTAAACTCCGCTCTGTCCTGTGCCAATTGCACTGTCTCTGACACTCCCATCCCAATTATCCCAGTCACTGAATCAATCCACCTCATAGAGGGCTTTCCTCTCCTGCGCTGTCCCTCCACCCTCCTAAGCATGATGTCCCTCTCCAAGGACCGGTCTCTCCTCACAACATGTCCAAAGTATGTTAGACGGAGCCTCAGAATCCTTGCCTCCAAGGAACCACCCAGTTTAACCCTTTCCAGGACAAATCTGTTTGTTTTCCTAGCAGTCCATGGTATTCTCAATACTCTTATCCAGCACCACAGCTCAAAGGCATCAATTCTCCTTCTATCCTCCTTGGTCATTGTCCAACTCTCTGATGCATAACAGGTGATTGTGAAGACCATGGCCTGTATCAGAGGCACCTTAGTCTCCAAAGAGATACCATTGCTCTTCAGCACTTTGGAGAGGTCCCTAACAGCAGACTTTCCCATGGCAATGCGCCTTTTAATTTCCTGGCTGCTGGTACCAAGACTGTTGACTATGGAGCCAAGCAAACTAAAGCTGTGTACAATCTCAATCTCTTCACCATCCATCCAACCCTATGTACAACAGAACACATTTAGGTATGTATGTACAACCTAAAGTTGGTAACCCTTTCCAAATATTTGTCTCTACAAAGTATTAGGATTTTGTTATGTACCATCAAGTTGTTTGTGACTCACAGCAACCCTATGTACTATAGCTCTGAACCCTGCTCTATCATGTGTCAACCTTATTGTCTCTGACACACTTACCCTATTAACCTAGTCACTGAATCATTCCATCGATATTATCAGGTTGGACTAATTAATTGGCTATCATTTTGCTGTTAATTAGGTGGCCTTTGCTATTAATTCAGATTTCAGTCCTTAGAATTGTCCTCCTTGCTCAATGTGTGTCTTGTAACTGGTATTATGGAGCAGAATGTGTATGACTGATTGAAGATTAAAAAAAAAAGCCATAAATATAATTTTGTAAACTTTTACGCTTCACTTTTAATTACAATTTTAAAAAAAAGTAAGAGAGTCCTTGAATATCACATGCAAGCAAAATCCTGCAGAAGAGTATCTAAAAATGACTGGAACAGTATATCAACAGAAAACTAACAGAAATACAAAATAGTTTCAAAGAAGATGTGGCACTAGGGATATCATAGCTAATGTCATATGGCTCTTGGCTAAAAGCAGAGTACCAGAGTAATGTCTATCTGTGTTTCATTGACTATGCAAAGGCATGTGACTGGATTGTGACAAATTGTTGCTAACCTTGGGAAGAATAGGAATCCTTTAACACCTGATTGTGCTAATGCAAAGCCTATACTTGGACCAGGAAGCAGATGTCCAAATAGAGCAAGGAAACACTGCATGGTTCAAAATCGGGAAAGGAGTGTGTCAGATGCATCCTGTCTCCATACATTTTCAATCTATATGCAGAAAAGGTCATCCAGAAGGCTGGACTTTATGAGGAAGAATCACCATCAGAATTGGAGGAAGACCCATCAACAACCTGTGTTATGCAGATAAGACCACCTTGCTTATTGAAACTGAAGAGGACCTGAAGTGTTTGCTACAGAAAGTAAAGGATTACAGTCTTCATGCTCAGCATCAAGAGAACAGATTCTCACCATTGGCCCAATTGGCAGCACCATGATAAATGGAGAAGAGATTGAGGTTGCTAACAATTATAGCTTGCTTGGCTCCACAATCAACATTCTTGGCACCAACAAACAGGAAATCAAAAGACGAAGTGCATCGGAAAAATCTGCTGTTAAGGACCTTTCCAGAGTGCTAAAGAGCAATAGTGTTAGTCTAGAGACAAAGGTACACATGATCCAGGACACTGTCTTCACAATTACTTGCTGTGCATCAGAGAGCTGAACAATGACTAAGGGTGACAGAAGAATTGATGCCTTTGAGTTATGGTGCTGGAGAAGAGTGAAACCATTTACTCCTTGGAGAGTACTTTGCCAGGAGTGACCAGTCCTTGGAGAAGGATATCATGCTTGGAAGAAGAGTGGAGAGACAGAGCAAGAGAGCACTGGATAAGATAGATTGACAGAGTAACTGAGATTTTGGGGGTAGGTGTGTTAGAGGCAGTGAGACTGGCTCAGGAGAGGGTAGCATTCAGAACTTACTGTGCATAGGGTTGCTATGAGTCTCAACTGACTTGATGGCACTTAACAACAATATATTCTAATGAACTCATTTTCTTTTGGCATTTTAATAAAAGCTGGAAAGTGGGTTTTTATTAAATACCAACCTTTAGGGTATTGCTTGGCTTCTGCACGAATGTCTACTTTAACAATAATCAGATGAATAATTACATATATCCCATGTACCAATAATGAGTATAAGAATTATAACATACATATATGGTATACATTTTAACTATAGACATTGTGGCTTTTATTTGGAAACTGGGAATAGTTTCTTCAAATGGATTTCTATCTCATAACAAACTCTGTTATAATATTATATCAAAAAGAATTATCTATGGCAAATATTTTCTTACATTTACTATATTAATGCGAATCCATTTAGCTTGAATTAATGAAGTTGAATGAGTTCTGTATGCTGGAGGCTATTTGCATTTATTTCTTTTTTCTTGAGAAAATCAAGTATGAAGTTTCTGATGTTTAACAAGGGTTGAATTCCTGTTGAAGGTTTTATGACATTTCTTACATTTAAATGGTTTCTCTCCTGTATGAATCATTTGATGTCTAATAAGGGAGGAGCTCCGGTTGAAAGATTTTCCACAATCAACACATTTATAGAGATTATCTCTGGAATGCAACACTGAATTTTTATTCTCATCTTCATGTTTAGTAAAGGTGTTTCCACATCTATTACTTTCACAGATATTTGCTTCAGCATGAATTTTCTGATGTTTACTAAGGTTTGTACGCCGGTTGAAGAATTTTCCACATTTTAAACATTTATATGGTTTTTCTCCTGTGTGAATTATATGATGTCGAATAAGAGATGAACTCCGGCTAAAGGCTTTCCCACATTGATAGCACTCATAAGAATTCACTGTGGTTTGAGTTTCTAGGTGTTTATTAATAGCTGTACTCTGGTTCAAGGTTTTCTTACATTTGTTATATCCTGAATGTTGCTTAGCTACTGTGTATAAATTAAATTGGAAGTTGGCTTTCAATGTGTCACATTTTGGGGACTCCCTTCTGATAGGAACTTCCTTTTGTAAATCACAAATTGAGTTAACAGAATTAACAGTAAAGCCTCTCTCATATCCACCATATTTAGAGTCTTCCTCCGTAGTGTGGATTTCTTTATGGATTGGAGTTTCTTGTGGCAAATAAAGGTCCCTATTTCCTTGATTCCCAGAGATCCAACCATCATCTTTCCAGCCATCTAATGAAGAGGGATTACTTGTCATAAACACTTCATGAGATGATTCTTCTCCAGAAATCCTCTGCTTTGGAAAGGAAACATTTTCTTCTGAAATAGTCTCCCTGTCTAAAAAGAAATAAAAATTCCATGAGCTAGAAAAAGTGAAAGTGCTCAATTTGGACAGGGAGGCTAAGTCATTTATGGGCATACACAGGCATCAATCTTAACAACAGAGTGAAAAAAGGCAACCTACAGAAGAATGAGTTATGATTAAAATATAATAAGGCCTTTGTCATTGTTGTTTACCAGAGTCAGAACTGACCCATAGTGACCTTCCAGAGGGTTTTCAGAGGTAGTTAATCTCATAGGAGCAGACTGCCCAGCCTTCTCTTGTCGAGCTGCTGGTAGCCTTGAACTGTGTGCCTTCAGAATTGCAGTAGCGCAGTTTCTTGCCACTAGGCCACGGGAGCTCATAAAATATAAAAATATATCAAAACAACTATGAGATATCATCTCACCCCAGTCAGAATAGCAAAATTTAACAGAACAGCAAGCAACAAATGCTGGCGAGGTTGTGGAGAAACTGGAAACCTTATTCACTGTTAGTGGGAATGTAAAATGGTGAACCACTGTGGAAGGTGGTATGGTGGTTTCTCAAAAAGTTGAAAATAGAGATACCATTTGACCCAGCAATTCCACTACTGGGAATATATCCCAAAGAGACCATAACCGACATCCAAGCAGATATATGCACACCCATGTTTATTGCAGCTCTCTTCGCAATAGCAAGGAGTTGGAAACAACCCAGGTGCCCATCAACAAACGAATGGATAGAGAAGCTGTGGTATATTCACACAATGGAATACTATGCTGCATTGAAAAACAAGGAACTCATTCAATATTATTCAAAATGGGTGAGCCTGGAGGACATTATGCTGAGTGAAATATCTCAGTCGCAAAAGGACAAATATTGCATGGTGCCACTGCTGTAAAATGGGACTGATATCAGGGTGGGGGTAAGACTGAGAAAAACTGGATAAATTGTGCATACTGCACTGCAACAGATGAGGGACTGAATAATTTAAAAGCGATGTATGATAGGGTATTATGGTTATCACAAGAGTCCACAATTAAGGTTGCATAGTGGAATGTACTTGGGGTGGTGGGAGGGGTGCGGGGGGATTGTGTACCAGGGAGGGAGTCTTTCTTTTACTTTTGAAAGACAGGAGCGACCTGGGGGGCGGGGGGAGAGGGCTGGGCAGGTAGAGAAGTGCAGCAATGAATGAATGGAAATCCAAATTCTCTGTAAATGTTCATTATAATTATTTTTAAAAAAGAGCCATTTAGAAATACTTAACAGAGGACACTGGGTTTTGGTAAGTCACCAATGATAATACCAATTTAACCATATATTTTTGAAACATGTCTATATTCTAAGGAATCATTGTAACCAGTTAAAAGGAAACTTGAAATCATAGTGCCTTTATTCTCCATCCATATGTAATTATTTATATATATAAAAAGGCAGAAAAAAATTTAAAATATGGCAGCAGAGGAATCATCTTTGTTCTGAATTGAATAGTCTCCCTCCTTCAGGATATTTTTCCTATATATTTTTCTAGTGGCACTCAGGCCTGGTTTTAATTGGTTTTGGTCGAACATTCTTCTAAGTGGTATAGCACTGGTCTGACCATTTGCTGTGCGGAGATAACTCAAGGTTGCTGTGATACTCCCCACTGTGACACTGATGTGCCAAATGTTATAATGGTTACCCATGGTGGACAGTGTGTGGTGGAGCTCCCTGGTTAAAACAAGGTTGGAAGCAAGAGTGGCATCCACTTCTGAAATAGCTTGCCTCCAGAAACTATAAACATGGAGAAATGATAAAAGTTATACAAATATTCAGGTCTTATGTTCATAGGGTTGCTATGAGTCATCTACAACTTGACGGCACCTAACAACAATAACTTCTATGACTAAAAGTTTTACTTATTCTGATTAGGATTGGGTTCTTTTTCACCTTGTTTTCAGCTTCTCCACATCCCTCCAGAAATTTTTAAACATTTTACGGACTTGACATTTTCCTTTTCTTCTATTCAGGTGTGATCGGTAATTTTGTTCTCTATCAGTGGCCCTGTAACAAGCTCAGCTTTGCATTCTCAGATGTATTTTTCTTTTGTTTTCTCCAGTCTTGAGAAAATCACCATGACTACCCTAACTCTCATCCAACACCATAAATGAGATATTGAAATTATCACTTTTAATGGAATTTCTTTAAATGTCTTAAATTTTGTCTAATGAGTGTTCTAATATTTATACTAGAATTCATGAAGCGGTTGAGTAAACATTGTTCTTTTCTCTCATATCTGTGTTTAAATATCTTATTAAAATGAGCTTAAAATCAAAGTAAACTCTAAAAAAAGTAAACTTCAATTTTTAAGTACCTATAAATTAAGCCTAACTTTGTCTACTTTCTAGCAGAAACTATTATTTGTCTTTATAATACCAAAGCTGAAGTTAGACTACTAATTCAGAAAGAATCTTCTGTAGAGAGAAGGGAACATACATGCCCGTACTTTAAGAGACTACCCAAATGATCCAGATGCAGAACTAATGATAGTAAGTTATTCTTGTTGTTAAATGTTATTGAGTACAAAACATAGTGACCCTATAAACAACAGATCTGAATGCTGTCCTATCCTGTGCCAATCTCAAAATCTCTGACACTTTAGCCCCCTTGCTACAGTTACTGTGTCAATCCACCTGGTTGAAGATATTCCTCTTCTCTGCCTGGTATCTCTTTCAAGGAATAGCTTCTGCTAGCAACATTCCCAAAGTTTGCAAGACAAAGCCTCACCATTCTTGATTCTAAGGAGCTGCACCTTCTCCAAGATACATCTGTTTGTTCTTCTGGTAGTCCATGGGCTATTCAGCACTCTTCTCTAACAACATAGTTTTTAAAAAGTTAAGTTACTTGACAGTGTAAAAGTAAGCGTGGATGGAGAAGATTAAGCTATATTTTGGAAATATTGTTTTTAACTACTTAAAATCTAAAGGTTTTAAACAGTAAGTACAGGTAAGTCACTGGAGTTTGTCAGAGAGGCTAGAGAAAGGAAGAAACAGCCTGACAAGGGCTGATTGCCAGAAACAAAGTCAGCAGAAACCTAGGATTGAGGTTATAAACAAAGGTGTGAAGTGTTTATTCTTGTATTGATTAGTTCCAAGGGGGGGGGAACCTTAATATAAATAGTAAGATAAGATATAGTCTGTGGGTTTACCCTCCAGCAGGTTTTCAGAGGCAGTAAATCGCATGGGAGGATATTGTCTTTCCTGTTCTTGTGGTACAGCTGTTGGGTTTGAACCTTATGCTTTTGGGATTGCAGTGCTGGTTCTTAACCATTAGGCCACCAGAGCCTCCTACCCTTTCTTAAGACTCCCCAAATTTTCTCCCATTATTGGGAGTAAACTTGAGAATCATGATCTCATCTAAAAATAGGTCTAGATTAGAAAATGCACCTCACATTTGGTTCTCTTCTAAGGACATATGAATTAAAGAAACAAGTAGTTTGCTTCCATATACTCAATATCTATGGTAAGGCAGAGACTTGAAAACTAAGATTGCCCAGTCTTGAAAGAGGAAGATGGAAGTCATATAGCAGTAACTGGTTCACTGCAGTTGTGAAATTCAGATGGGCACATGTCATTAGCTCTTTGAGGAGTTGCATCTATCCTCTCTGGGACAGTTTATCTGTGGGTCTTAATCCTGTCCTCTGAGTTGTCCTACATTTTAATAAAAAATGGCTTCATTTATTCAGCCTCCTTCCTGCTTGTCTGAAGACTTCTTTTTCTCTAGTTAGAAAGCCAAAAAGAAGAACATGCTCAGCATTTCTCAAGCAGAAAAAAAACTGAAGGACAAACTGTGGGCAAAATCTTGAACGTGGCAGGCAATACAAAATTAAGCTGGAAGGAATACACAGAATCATGGAACCAAAAATAACTGGTTGACCTTGAAACATTTCAGAAAGTAATGTCTGATTAAAACCCAATGGTAATGAAGGAAAAAGTTTAAACTACACTGAAGGCACTGCAAAAATTCAGGTTTTAGGAAATGGTGAGATGTTTTAGTGAACAGAAGCAGCCCCAGACATGCTCAATAGTCTACAGCATGACATCTCGAAGACAGCCCCCTGGCCAAGTAACTGGAAGAAGTTTGTATTTGTTACCATTCCAAAAACGGACCCAAAAGAATCTGGAAATCATTCAACAGTATCATTAATATTAAATGAAGGTAAAATCCCACTGAAGATTAGAAAAAAAATGCTTAGAATAGTACATTAACAGCTGCCAGAAATTAAAGTTGGATTCACAAGAGGCCATCACACAGGGATATCACTGCTGAGGTCAGATGGATCTTGGTTGAAAGCAGAGAATACCAGAAAGATGTTTATTTGTTTTGTTGATTATGCAAAAGCATTTGATTGTGTGGACCATGACAAATTATTGCTAACATTGAGAGGAATGGGAATTCCAGAACACTTAATTATGCTCATGCAAAAAGTTGTCTTAGGAAAACAAGGGAACACTGCATGGCTTAAAATCAGGAGAGGTGATGCATCAGGACTGTATCCTTTCTCCATACCTACTCAGTCTTTTTTAAATTGTTATTTTAACAAAAGTTTACAGAAAAGTTGGATTTTCATTCATTTACTTTTGCATATTTTTACTCCCGATCCCCATCCAGTTAACATTTTTAAAAAAATCATTCTTTGTTGCATAATACCCTTTCAATCTTATGCTTAGCAAATCCTTTGAGAAGCTGGACTATGTGAAGAAGTAAGTAGCATCAAGATTGGAGTAAGACTCATCAACAGCCTGCATTATGCAGACGACAAAACCTTGCTTGCAGAAAATAAACATTTGAAGCACTTGCTGCAGACTATCAAAGACTGCAACTGTCAAAATCGAATACACTTCAACATCAAGAAAATAACACAACACTGGATCACTAGGCAATGTCGTAACAGAAGGAGAAAGTTTGAAGTTGTCAACGATTTAGTTTTATTTGGATCCACAATCAACACAATCAATGGTAGTAGAAATAGTAAAAAAAAATCAAAAGACATGCTGTTTTGGGAAAATCTGTTGTCAAAAACCTCTCTAAAGTGTCAATGATCAATGATATAAGTTTAAAGACCAAGGTGTGCCTCATCCAAACCATGGCATTTTCAATTGCTTCCTATACTTCTGAAAGTTGGACAGTGGAGAAAAGAAGAACTGATGTCTTTGAATTGTGGTGTTGGAGAAGAGTACTGAATATTCTATGATTGCCAAAGAAGAAACAAGTCTGTCTTGGATGAAGTGCAACCATGGTGCTCCCTGAAGGCAAGGATTTCTAAACCTCCTTTCACATATTTTGAGCTTGTTGTAAGAAGGGGCCAATCCTTTGAAAAAGATATCAAACTGAGAAAGGTAGGCGGTCAAAGTAAGAGAGGAAGACTCTCAACATCACAAATTGACATCAGTGACTGTAATAATATATTCCAGCATATCAGATATGGTAAGGATGTTGCCAAATAGGGCAAAGATCAGTTCTATTGTTCATAATAGAGTCACTATGAGTAGTAGTCGATGTCATGACATCTAACCATAATGACCACCTTCACTTCAAGCTTTATTCCTTTAAAATCACTGTGGGATTCCTATTTTTCATTTAAAATCTACTCCATTAAGTAAAAGTCATTCCAGTAAAGCTCAAGAGTTTTCACTACCTCAGTAGTCATAATTCACGAGGTGAATATATTAGGAATATTAGGACCTTTAATATTCTTACACTCTGGATTCTAGCAAGTAAATCTAAGAGGCAAAATAAATGTAAGATTATTACTAAGCTGAGGGAATTTAGAAGAATCTTTTTGACATGTTGTTTTGTGTACTGTTGCGTCATAACTGACTCAATAACTGACCCTCCAGTGAGATTTTAGAGGAAGTAAATCATATAGGAGACTGCCCATCTTTCTGCAGAATAGCTGGTGGATTCAAATCACATGCTTTTATGTTGACAGCTTAACTCCTTACCTCTAAGCCACCAGAGCACTCTCCTTTGACAAAGATTATAGCAGTCAAAATTTTATGGGACTTTGCGCAAAATTTTAAGGCACATTACAGCTGGGACTGACAAAGGTGCAGATCATACTATCCATTTTATTCCTGCTTATCTTTTTCATTTTTGTACAATGTTAACAGCTATACTAGTTTCACAACAGTATAGATGGGGGAAGCAAAAATGCTTAAGGAGAAATTCCTAGGATATAGGAAATTCCTTTGGCCCATCCTGGAACCTCTTTATAATCTCTTACGTGCTTGAGCCCATTGTTACAGTCACTGTGTGATTCTATCTTGTTGGCAGTCTTCTTCTCTTTCTCTGACCCTCCATCTTTGCTAACATAATATCCTTTTCCAAGGACAGGCCCTATTGTCATGGCTGTTCTATAACCTCAACAAAAACTCTTTTCTTTTTAATTTTAATGGATTTTTTTTAACTCCACATTTTTTATGAGTTCTGTGACACCTCAAATCTTTCTAAAGATTTAAGAAAAGGTGTTAAGTGCGTATCCTTGAGAGTTTGACCCTGAGACCACATTTTACTGACCACATACAGGCTTAGAAATTTGCTCAGACTCTATTTCTTACTTTGAGAACTTTTTACTGTCAAAGATTATTGTTGAGTAGTTTCATTTCAAACACACCACGTTCTGGCTCTAAAACTAGACATTACTTCTTTATTCATCTCATATTTCCTCCTAGTCTGTAAAAACTAATTGTCTCTTTGGGTCCTTTCCAGCTTCAATCCTCTACCGGTTCCCAAAGCAAATGCCACATATCTTTTAATTTATTTTTAATGGTCACAGGGCACCATGAGGGAGCACTTGTCCCTAGGGAGTTGTGCTACTAATCCAAGGTCATGCCTTTCAGAGTTTGAATCTACCAGTGGCTCCTCAGAAGACAGACAAGCAGTCTCTTTCTATGTGATTTATAGCCTATGAAACCCAGGTAGCTATGAGGTGGTTTGGTTTTGACTCAATAGCAATGAGTTTTAGTATTTAGTTTATAGGGTAGAGTGAATCAGAATTAATTTATTTATTGGGTTAGCGTGCTTTTGGATTATGGCAGTATAACACTTCCAGGCTTCAGTGTTTCAGTTACCTAAAGCTACATAAGAAATCATTCTACAACTTAACATTTCTCACAATTACACGTTAAGAATTTAAGTAGGGAACACAGGACTGGTTTATTTCTCCTCCACAGTAACAGTGGTCCCAAGTGGGATGGGCTGAATCCTCTGTAAAGTAGCTGGAGCAGTTTGCTTAGTTTCTTATGTCTGAAGATTTTTTTTTTTTTTTTTACTGGGATCATTTGTCTGGTTTCAGCCTGTAAGATCCAAGAAAGACTTACTCTGACATCTTAATGATCTTCCATTTGGCACCTTTCATTCCATGCAGCTAAGGAGGCTTCTCAAAAGCAGGGTGATGTCAAGACAGTAACTACTAGTCCTATTAAAGGATGGGCCTGGAACTGACAGAGTGCACTTATGCTGCATCTCGCTGCTTCAATAGTCACAAAGCCAATCCAGATTCAAGGAATGGGGGTAAAAAATTAAAATACTGATAGGGTGAAAAAACCCTCTGTGGCTATTTTTAATCTATTATAATTAACTGTTTGAAAAGAACTGCATGGTTCATAAGGAAGACTGGTTTGTGTTAGGATTGTATTCTTTCACTGTATCTATTTAATCTGTATGCTGAGCAAAATAATCCAAGCTAAACTGTAAGATGATGATGACGACTATGGCATCAGGATTAGAGGAAGATTCCTAACAACCTGCAATTTGTAGGTGACACAACTTTGTTTGCAGAAAACAAAAAAGCAGCTCACTCTTTTACATACTGCATATTAAACATAACTATAATCTTGGGCACATGGCTCAAATTCACCAGCTGCTCCATGAAAGAAAGATGGGCAATCTCCTCCTGTGTAAATTATTGCCTCTGTAAACCCACTAGAGGGTCAGCTATGTTGGTTCCAACTTGATGGTACATACCAACAACAGTATAATCTTGTTGTTGTTGCTATGTGCCGTCGAGTCACCTGCAACTCATATTTTATATTCTCACAAATAAAATATTATTAAGAATAAAGAGAATACGATGAGGGTATAGGTTTACACAAAAATTAAAGAGGTCTGGATGGATTGACAGCAATGGGCTGAAGTGTGTCAGAGTTGATGATGACACAGGATAGGACAAGGTTCAGATCTGTGATTCAAAGGGTCACTATGAGTCATACTTAACTTGATGGCACCTAACAATAATAATAACATAATAAAAGAACAAATTCTTAGGAAAATATAGAAATCATGCTAGTATAAAATAGAGCTTTTGTTTCCATTGAAAGGAACATCATTCCTTTTTAGATTGGTTGATGTTTGTTTATATATCACTTAGAAAGTACTAGGCACTACATTATCAACTCTTAAGTTTCACAATAACACAATGATTAACTCCATTTTATAGAGGAGGGCAGTGGCAGAAAGTTTATCCTGGTCACATAACTTTAAGTGTCTGTGCTTTTATGACACATCCTAATAAGGAAAAATTGGAAGCAGAAGTGGCATCCAATTCCTAAATAACATGCCTTCAGAAACTTTATGAATTTTGATAATGTCGATAGTTGTAAAGGGGCTTCAGGCCTTTTGTTCATAGGGTCACTATGAGTCGTGCTCAACTCGAAGGCAATTAACAACAACAAGGGCATTGATAACTTTTATCTTTAAATTAAAGTTGTTTTGTTGTCATGGCACTCAATCATAACTCTAAGGTCTTCATTAACTGGCTGGACCATACATTGTCTATTAATCCAATTACAGAAAATTCTTGTCTCATACCTGCCTGATTCTTACCCAAATCAGTCCTTCCTGGGGTTTCTTCCTCCATTATCTGTTGTTTTTTCTCACTTTCAAAATTGGGAATCTTAACTGGTTTGGAATGCAGATGCCCTGTTCATGAGGGAAAAAATAAAATGTGACAGGGAAAAACAACTCTATCCTAACTCAGTGGTCTAAGAGTTCCTGAAAGGGGAGGTCATAAAAATACCACTGTTGTGTTTCTGAAAAAACTTTTAATCAGATGCAGCAGCAAAATTTGTTCTTTTGCTCAAAGGGATTAGAAAACCTAACTCAAAGACAAATGCACTTAACCGCTTCAGCAATGCTAGAACTGTTACTAGGCAAAGAGACTACCATTGAGTAGATCAGGTAAATTCATACAAGCCACCTTTACGCAACGAATTCAGGTTGTTGTAGTTCTCCAGCATCACATCTCTGTACAGGTTTTTTACAGCTGAATCCAGTTGTCCCCATTCTTCCTCATTGAATTCCACAATCACATCTTTGAATGTCACTGGTTCCTAAAACATTAAATTCTTTATTTATCAGAGATTATTCAAAAAAATATTACAGGAGAAAGGACTGATTTAGGAAGAACAGGTGATAAATGGAGAAAAACAATTGAAGTTGTTAAGGATTTCATTTGACTTGAATACATTATCAATGCTTATGGAAATAAGAGGCAAGAATCAAATATATTGGGCAAATCTGCTGCAAAATACCTCTTTCAGATTTAAAAGCAAAGATGTCAGAACCAAGTTGTGGTATTTTTAATCCGTTCATGTACATGTGAAAGCTGGCAATCAAAGCACCAAAGAAGAATGAATGCCTTTGAATTAGTGTTGGTGTAAAATATTGAGTATACTTTGGACCACCAAAAAAATAAAGGATATCTTCTCTTGGAAAAAGAACAACCAGAATACTCCTTTGAAGTGAGGACGGTGGGACTCTGTCTCACTTATTATGGACATGTTATCAGGAAGGGTCAATCTCTGAAGAAAGACATCATGCCAGGGAAAGCAGAGGGTCGGGGGGAAAGAGAACAACTCTTAAGGAGTTAAGAGTGACACAGTGGTAGTAAATAGCATAATTGTGATGGTGGAGTGATTTGTTCTATTATAAATAGGGCTGCTAACAGGCAGAACTGATGTAAAAGCATCTAACAACAGTGCAAGTGGTCAGAATATATGAGAAACAATATCATTTGGGGTTTTATGTGATGACAGTTATGTTGTAATAATCAACTTGGTACAATTATATTCTGTGAGAGCTGCAAAAAAAGGTGTGCCGTCCATAAGCTAAATTAGTTTACACTTTGGCAGAGGAGAAAAGATAGTTGAAATAATTGAACATAAGATTACACTAGATTCTATTTAAGAGGAACTTGGAATTAGAAGAATTTAAACAAAGGGAAATTTATAGTAAAATCTGGGCACTGCTGGGCACAGCATTTTCTCTGAGAAATGTAGTTTGTTGTTTCCTTTTCATTTGTCTTACAAGCCAATGTCACCTTTTCAGAGAGCTGTGCCTGATCATCTAGTTTCACTTGTTACTAGTCTACCACATGATCTTCCATTCTTTGTAATTTATTCTTAGCTGAAATTTTATTTGCTTACGCTTATCTATCTACTTCTATTGGAATATAATCTCTATAAATGCAGAATTTTCTCTTGTTTTCCATTATTTTCTCAATCTCTTCAAAACATGACTGACATATAAGGTCCTGCATAAATACTTCCAACTAAACATAATCCTTCCTGTTTCATAAAAGCCTTGTTTTCAGGGCCTTGTTCTACTTTCTCAAGCATCTACGACCTTTTCTTTCTAGGGTCCTACCATCACACTGAAATATACACATTCCTTCTTTCTCTCCCATCTTTGTGAATGTATTTATTGTCTACATTAGTTTTGTATATTTTCTCAGCTTCTTTCTTCTCAATGCACTACAATCTGGCTTCTACCACATGACACACTTAGTAACTGCTCCATTAAGATAAACAAACATTACTCAAGTTGTATTTTTTCAGGACCATATAAAGCCTTTCTCTTTGAAGTCTTCTTGCTATTTAGCCTCTGACTATATGTTTCTGGTTTTTCTTTACTTTTTTTATTCTTATTTTCAGAATCCTTTGAGATTTCTTCTACATTTGCCCTTTAAGTGATATTGCCCAGGATTTTGCTGTTGGCCTCCTTCACATTTTTATTTCAAGCATTCAATATTTTTGTACAGCTTCAATTACTTTCTGTTCTTTTTGAAGGAGTAGATGCATGGGGAATACACAACATTAAAAGAAAATGTTTTTCAAAGAATGTAAAACCAATCTATAATTCTCTAGCATCATTTTGTGCTCCAGTGTCCTGTGAATAACAATCTCATGTGCTCTGATGGAACTACATTTAGCAAGGACCAAAAAAAGCCAAAACAAGTCTTAAAGGACTACCACCAATTTTCAGTAAAGAGTAGGATCCTAATTTACCTGGAACTTGTCGGTTAGTGAGCCAGCTTCCATATCCTCCTTCTTGAAATTGTCCCTTTGTAGGACAGAATCCTTATAGGATACATCTTGAAGAAAATGAAGTAAACATTAGGGACACAAATTTTTTTCCTGAAGCTACTTTTAATGATTAAAGTGGTATGAACATGGTTATTGAAAAAAAAAAAAACATGTCATAGAATTACTGTGTTATTTTACTCCATAAAATAATTACTATTTGTTACTATCCATCAAATTTGTTACTATTCTTCATTTATGCAAGCAGGAATATGTGCATTTACATCAAATCTAATGCCACTCACATTATTAAATCTAGTCAATAATTACTGAAGATTCAAATTCTTCTGTTGTTCCAATGTTCTCTCATTCTCTATTACTGGATTTATTATAACAGTCTCCCAACAGGTTTTCCTAGTTAAAGAACCCTCAGATCCATCTTCTAAACCAGAGGCCATTAAATTTTTCTTCAAAAGTCTAGATAGTGAATATTTTAGGTTTAGCGGCCATTCAGTTTCTATGATAACTACTGAAGTGCAATTGTATCATGAAAACTGTCATAGGTAAAACATGAATGAATGGGTATGACTATGTTTCAATAAAACTTTATTTACAAAAATATTTGTTTCATATTCTTTAGTTTGCTGACTCCTGCTTTATACCAATGCCAATTATCTTTAAATGCCATTAGATCATTCTATACCCCACACCTGTCCTCTCCCCATGAAATCCCTCCACTTGAATTGCCTGTTAAGTCAAGTTCATTCTTCTTGATATGGTAATATAAAGCTCATAATAATCTGGATCATAACACTCTCTAAGGGCTTCATTACTTTCTAATTTTTTGAGAGATCAGATACACAGGAAAATGAAATAAAGAAAACAATAACTTTTCTTCATATAGAAAAGCCAATTAATCTAATTCCAATTTTATATAATCTTACCTTCATATTTAAGCATTTCAATCACATCCTCTATGAGGGTCACCACCTCTTTGCTGTTCTTTGGATGTTGTAATTTCACCCAAATTCTAACCTCTTCAGGGAGGATTGTGAGAAATTGCTCTAGCACCAGTAACTCTAGGATCTGATTCTTGGTATGAATCTCTGGTCGAAGCCACTGAAGGCAGAGCTCCCAGAGCTGGTTTAGTGATTCATGAGGCCCAGCCCTTTCCACATATTGGAACTGTCTGAACTTCTGACGAGAGGCCTCAGAATCACAGAACTCCATTACTGGTATGGTTTCTTTCTGCCAAGACACACCTGCTTGTAGAACTTCACTTTGTTCACTCACAGTCAGATTTTGGGGTTTTAAGATGGCCATCAACTTTTTCAAAGGCTGCATCTGCATAGAAAGAACAACCAATGTAATTCAAATTCGTCTTTCCAGAGGATTCCAATTCTTCTCAAACATGGGCTAAATGACTGTGTACTATATGCAGTGCAATTTGAGCAAAATTGTATCTTGGTAAGCAGAAAAGTTCCAGAAGCTTCATTTACAAAGTCAATATTTAGGTATCTGAAGAGTGTGAAAAAACATATATGACCTAAAAATAAAGAACATGTATTAGTTTGAGACTGAGAAATAAAAAAAGTACAAACAGTATTAAAGAAATACATATGATGGATTCTCCTTCCCTTCTTGTTTTCTTTCTTTACATGAAGAAATATTCTTTTCCTTTCCTCAAACTTCTAGCAGAAAGAGAAATAGAAGAAAGGAAAGAGAAACAGATATACCCTTAAAAGTGACAAAAGAAATAGACTTTTGCTTAAAAAAATCCTTGTCATTTAATTGCAATTATTATCATTACTAATTATTACTTGACCAGATAACAACTCCTTTTTAGTTTAAATCTAAATAGATTATCAGTCAGCATAGTCCATTCAAGACTTCAGGCTAGATACAACTTAAAAATCTCTTGCAAACTTATTAAAATAGCCAGAAAGTTTTCAGTAAAACTGACAATAGCACAATAAATTAAGGCAAGAGATAATTATTAAACAGACACTAGAGAAGTGTTTCCATACCAAAAAGGACTGATCAGCAATGAAATATTTCCAGAAATTCCATAAGATAGTCAATAGTAATGAAGAAAGACATTCAAACTGCAGTGAAGGTATTGACAAAAGTTAAGGCCCCAGGAATTGCTGGTAATGACATGCTTCAACTAACAGATGCATCCCTGGAAATCCCTGTCTGAGCCAGGGAATTTGGAAGATAGTGACCTGGCTAATTGATAGAGAGAGATCTATATTTGTTCCCAATCCCAAAAAGGTGATCGAACAATGTAGAAATCATTGAACAATATAATTGATATCATATGCAGGAAATCATTACTGAAGATCACCTAAAATGACAGGAGCTGTATACTGACAGAGTTCAGCTTGGGTTTAAAAGTTGTAGCACCAAGAATATCATTATTGATGTCAGAAGAGATCTTGGCAGGAAGAAGAAAATATCAGAAGAACATCTACTTCTGTTTTACTGACTTTGCAAAGGCATTTGACTATGTCTATCATTAATAAACTATGACTAGCTTGAGAATAGGAATTCAAGAACACTTAATAGTGCTTATACAATATCTGTTGTCCAAATGGTACAAAGAACACTGTATGGTTTAAATCAGGAATAGAGTGCATCAGCGTTGTATCCTTTCTCCATTCTGTTGAATCTGTATGCTGAGCAAATAATTAATGAAACTGGACTCTATGAAGAAGAATGTGGCACCAAGATCAGAGGAATCAAAATCAAAATGAGATGATGAGATATTGTCTCATCGTAGTGGCAACAGCAGGCTAACAGGACAGCAAACAAGAAATATTGAGGAGGATACAAAGAGGTTAAAAATCTCATGCACTGCTGGCAGGAATGTAAAATGGTGTAACCATTATGGAAAGCAATTTGGAGTTTCCTCAAGATGATAAATACAGAAATCATATAAGCTCCAGCTATTCCACTACTGGGAATACACTGTAAGGAAATCTGAGCAGAGTCATGAGCAGATATATGTACACCTATGTTTACTGTAGCATTGTTGCAAGAATATGGAAATAGTTCAAATGCCCATCATCAAACAAATAGAGAAATTGTGGTACATTCACACAATGAAATACATAGTGTTAAAAAACAATGAAGAATTCATAAAATACTACACAACCTGGGTAAGTCTAGAGGACATTAGGCTGAGTAAATAACTCAGTCACAAAAGGACAAATATTGTGTAACATAACTACTGTGAAAATAGGAGACTGATGGGGTGGTGGCAGGAAGAGCGAAAATAGAATGCAGAGATAATGAAAACAGTATTGCCCAACCTTTTCCTGCAAGAATCCTTTTCTTTAGGGGATGAGATCAACTTGGGAAGAACAGCTGAAAGGTTAATATGGACACTGCAATTAGCAACTTGGAATATGATATGAATAATTAGTCAAACAGGGAAGGGGAAAGACAGAAGGAGGAGGGAATAAGGATAGTGGAGGATCTAGGTCAGAAAAGATCAGTGGATGGATGGGTGAGGTGAAGAATAGGCCAGGTGCAGTGAGGCTTTGATGAGACATGATGATAAAAGGCACTGATTAATTGTAATTATTATAAAACCTAATGTGTATGAATGTATGAAAACCAACTTTCAATTTAAAAAAAAATGGACAGAAACAAAACATGTAAAAAACAAGAGCCCGTTCCAGCAGTCACCATGTCAGTCCACCTTGTTGACAGTCTTCCTTTCCTTTGGCGACCCTTCATGCTTCCTAGTATCATGTCTTTCTTCAAGGAATAGCTCTTCCTAGCAACATGTCCAAAATATGTACGGCAAAGGCTCATTACTCTTACCACCAAAGAGAACTCTGGTTGCACCCTCTCCAAGACATAGCTGTTTGCTGTCTTAGCCATCAATGGGATGTTCAGTGCTCTTTTCCAACATTACAGCCCAAAGGCGTCAATTCTTTTCTTATCATCCTTATTCACCGTCCAGCTCTCAGATGCATAGCAAGTAATCGGAAAGACTAAGGCCTGAATCAGATACATCTTAGTTATTGGTTTTTTTACACCTTAGTTTTTAAACTGACATCACTACTCCTCAATAATTTGGAGAGGTCCCTAACTGCAGATTTTCCCAGTGCAGTACATCTCCTTATTTCCTAACTGCTGGTAAGTACCATAAGTGTTAAATGTGGATCCAAGCAAGATGAAGCTGTTGAGTTTCAATTTCCTCTCCATCCATCATGATGCTGCCTATCAGTCCAGTGGTAAGAATCTTTGTTGTCCTGGCATTGAGACGCAATCTATAGCAAAGGCTACATTCCTTTCATGTATGGAAATCTATGAAAACACAGTAGAGTAGAAAGGGAGGAGGGGAGAAACTTAGAATGCTTGACTCGGGGCAAGAGAACATTTTAAAATAGCTTTCTTAATCATACTATGGAACTATGGAAATGAATAGAGTCTATAAAATTAAATGCAAAATAAACTGTACATAAACACTATACCAAAGCTACTGCCATGAAGTAGATTCTGACCCATAGTGACCCTCAATCAAGTTTTAGAGGCTCTAAGTCTTTATGGAAGAAGACTGCCCATCTTTTCCTACAGAACATCTGGTAGATTCAAACTGCTGGCTTTTCAGTTAGCAGCCCAATACCTTATACATTATGCCACCAAAGATTCTTATGTAGTGTAGTTGATATTAAAATTGCTTTCTATGATGGTTGAATAATTCTGACAGCACCATATATTGTTGTTTGTTGTTATGTGCCGTCGAGTCATTTGCAACTCATAGTGACCCTATGCACAACAGCCCTAAACCCTGCTCTATCCTATGCCAATCGCACTGCCTCTGACACACCCATCCCCGATTACCCCAGTCACCGAGTCAATCCATCTCATAGAGGGTCTTCCCCTCCTGCGCTGTCCCTCCACCCTACCAAGCATGATGTCCCTCTCCAATGACCCGTCCCTCCTGGCAACATGTCCAAAGTATGTCAGACGAAGCCCCAGAATCCTTGTCTCCAAGGAGTTGCTTGGTTTAATCCTCTCCAGGATGAATTTGTTTGTTTTCTTGGCAGTCCATGGTACATTCAATACTCTTCTCCAGCACCACAGCTCAAAGGCATCAATTCTCCTTCTGTCCTCCCTAGTCATTGTCCAACTCTCTGATGCATAACAATTGGTTGCAAAGACCATGGCCTGTATCAGGCGCATCTTAGTCTCCAGAGACACCCCGTTGCTCTGGAGTACTTTTAAAAATCAATACTTAAGTAAATGAATGGCATATTGTGGATGCCAGGTTTCTCCATGTTTCACTTGGAATTTACAGATAATCATGGGCATGAAACTAGAATGCGCCATGTGGTGATTTACTAAAGTTGAAGACATCAGTGTGAACTCATGTTTAGCTTAATATAGATGCACATTCTTATATTCAGAAATATTTAGGGTGCCTCAGGTGTGTTGGAAATTGTGAGGAAGGCACAAGACAAGGGTTCCTATGAGTTGTACTCAACTTGATGGCACCTAATAACAAAATACACACGTTGTTGTCAGCGACCCTCTGAACAAAAGGCCTGAAGTCCCTCTACAACTATCGATGTTTATCAAAGTTCATAGAGTTTCCGGATGCACATTATTTAGGAAGTGGATACCACTCCTGCTTCCAAACCTGTCATAAAATGGTATTGGTTGAGTCTCCTGAGATGCATAATGACCCTATGTACAGCAACTCTAAACCCTTCCCTGTCCTGAGCCAATCTCATATTCCCTGTCAATTCAGCTGGCCTAGAAATAAGGACACCTCAGTAGCAACAAGCACAACTAGTACCTAGATGCTAATTTAAAATACCACTATCCAATGAAAGAAACAGCTCCTTGGAGATATGGCTAATTCTATGACTGGAGTAGGAAATATATATGGCAACCCTGGGACAAGGGTGGTATTATTAAGTTCAGGATTATTCAAACATATGGTGTTGTTGTAAAACTAAAACTAGTGTCATGTGCCTCCAACCTCCAAAACTTGCTATTAATTAATTAAAATTAAATTTAATGTTAATTAACATTTACTTTGCCCTAGAATCAATTTCTCTATAGTCATGTTGAGTACCTCAAGCTGTTTGTTTTTCAGGAGGTAAAATGAATTAGCATTTATCTTTTCTCTTTCATATGTAAACTGTACCCTAAATTGTGTTAACTAGAAATTGTAAGAATCCTAAGGTTGTATTTTTCTCAGTCATATGTAAACTGTATCTTCAGCTGTCAGTTTACCAGGAGAGGAAATGCATCTTTTCTGAATCAGCATTTACTTTTTGAAACTGTTTTTCTCAGTCATTTGTCAACTGTACCTTAAGCTG